TGGTCTGACAGGACCTGCCACTGATGAACCCGTGCTGATTGCCCCTAAGCATGCAGTCCCCTGCTGTCCCCTCCTGGATGTGTGCCAGAATTATTTTCTCAAACAGCTTGCCTAGGATCGAGGTAAGACTAACTGGCCTATAGTTTCCCGGGTCTTCCTTCCTCCCAGCAGTGGCCAACAGTAAGATGCCTTGTAGTTTCATCTCTGTCCCCCTTCTTGAAGATTGTAACAATCAAGGCATCCCTTAGGTCAGCTGGGATTTCTTCCTTCCAGATTTTAAGGATGAAGATGTGAAGCTGACATGTAAGTTGTTCTCCTCCTCCTTTGAAAATCTGTGCACGTATTCTGTCAGAATCGGCTGCCTTGTTATTCTTCATTTTCCCGATGGCACTCCCGACCTCTGCCAGGGTAAGTAGCAAACCAAGGTCTTCTCTGATTGCTTTTTGCAGAAAGTTGTTGATTTCATTCATCGACAGTTGAGTCATGATTCTGAAGGTCCTGGAAATGTTCTTTCCAGCAAGCATTGATGGATTTGCTGTCTTTCAGGAGTGTTGTTGCATCCTTTGATCTTAGAAGATTGAGGCCTTGAGCACTAGGGCCATAGACAGCTTTGGTAGCACTGAAGAAGCCACAAGGGTCACAGATGTCAGCAAAATGTTGGATTTTTTTTGATTTCTGAATCCACCATTCATTCTTCAGTTCTCATGGTCTCCTCTGCAGCTCTGATTTTGCTTGTTGGTGTCCATTTTTCTTGATGGCAGAGTTGATGCCATTCTGCCAGGCACAAAAAGCTTTTCGTTTCCTGTCCACGAGACCTTGAATTTCAGTGTCATTTTCATCAAACCAGTCTTGATGCTTCTTGGTCTTGTATCCTATGGTATTTTCACAGGATGAGAGAATAGCTATCTTGAGTCCCATCCGATGATCCTCAACTCCTCCTGAGTGCTCTGTTGGTAGTATCTCATTTGGAAGTTGCTAAAATTCTCTCTGCTTGAGTGGGTCCTTCAAGTACTTGATGCAGTCTTGATGGACATGCAGGAATGGATGAGGCAGTGGTCAGTCCAGCAGTCATCAGTGCTAGTCATGACTCTCATAATCAGGACATCCTGGTGATCACGACTCCGAACAATCATGTAGTCAATTAAATGCCAGTGTTTCGATCTAGGGTGTTTCCAGGACGTCTTGAACTTGTTCCTTTGACGCAACAGGGTATTTGTGATGACAAGTCTGTGTTCTGCACACTTCATCAGGAGAAGGACCCTGTTAGCATTTGAATTTCCAATCCCTTCTTTTCCAGTAGTACCATTCCAAAGTTCGGAATCTCTTCCTGCTGGTATTAAAATCTCCAAGAAGGATGATCTTTTCTTCCCTTAGGGTAAACGATAGGATGGCATCAAGCTGTGAGTAGAAGTTCTCCTTCATGATCTCATTGGCATCGAGGGTCGGGGCAATTGTTGCCTGTTGGTTTTTGGTGAGTTTCAGATGGAGAGTCATGAGGCATTCATTAACGCCAGTTGGGAGTTCTGAGAGTCAGTTCACAAATTCGTTTTTGATGGCAAAACGAACTCCACGTGTCCATGGCTCTTCTTCTGCTCCCTCTCCAGAAGGTGCATCTTCCACCTTCTTTTTTCAGATCTCCTTCTCCAGCATGTCAAGTTTCAGATAGCGCAGCAGTGTCAATGTTGAACTTCCTCAATTCCCAAGAGACGGTTGCTGTCCTTCGCTTGGGGCAGTCACAATTTGCATAGTCCATTAAGATTCATACGTTCCACATTCTGAAAATCATTTTTGTTTCTTTGTGACTGCATAGAGGTGATCCCACGGGGTGTGGTTATCTAGTCAGGAACAGATCGAGACAGACTGTTTGGGGCACCTTTTCTAGCCCCCTCCCCATGTGGGGTGAGAAGAATGGATCCTAAATAGGACTGTTCTCAGGATCATTGGAACACACAAGCCACTCCTCCACTACAAGGTGGTGATCTCCAGAGAGGAAATCAAACATATGAAGCAAGGGAGTTTCTTTTGGAGCACTCACTGTGCCTATGTGTCTTTTGAAATACAAAACAAGTAAGCTACCTGGGCATCAGTAAATTGGAATTTTTGATTCCAGCTCCGTGTGTTTCTATTTTATACATATTTGCTTGTATTCTCTGATCAAACAAAATGCAAAGTGATGCCCATCCATCCAACATTGGCCTCTTAGTAAGAGCAGCATCAGCCAGTAATTTGCTGGGTCTCTTTCTGGCTGCATTCCTGATCTTCAACTATACTTGTGCTCCAGAATGGCTCCAGGTTGTGCAGTGCGCCTGTCTCCAGACCTTCCCTAACATAGTGCCTCTAAGCCTTGATAAAAGGAGGAAGTAGCTAAAAGGTAGCCATTTTTTTTCTTGCATTAGCCAAAAAGAAAAAAGCACTCTCCTGAAAATTAATTTTAATTAGGATGCAGAAAGATGGATAAACTCTTACTTCATTACATAGAGTAATTGTCCTCTGTTTTCTCATCCTGGGGATTATGGAGTTTTGTATATATCATAAGAGGCCATTATGCAGATTTTGATTAATTATCTATAGTTACCTATCATCCCTGGCATATTTGTCCATGCATTCCGTCCAGTATGATGCTTAGTATGTTGTAATTCATTTATGCATTGTACGTAGTTTTAGAATTCACTTCCTTGATTTGCCAGAGTCCAAAACTAGTATGACCTTCTGGCCATGATGCAAAATACGAAGGTACATAACATGCAGTAATGCATTGCTCCTAGAAAACTATTAAATTACATTTGGAAATCTAGTAAAAATAAGAAAATATGTATTTTATAGGCCTCTAAGAATCAGTGCTTAGAAATCTGCTTACCTAAGATGAGGAGTAAAAATATTGAGCAGGACAAGAGGAATGATACCAAAAGAGGATGAAAAAAATACTTGAGGTTTTAAATAGAAGATAAAGCATGGATAAGAATACCATTTGCTTGATTTCAGGATATAAAAGTAAGGAATAAGGGGTATTAGAAGCAACTAAGATCAGGACAGAAGCGAGGAAACAGTGATACTCTGGCTACCTGTCCTGTAAGAGGAAAGAAAGAAGAGAAGCTTAAAACTCCCTGTTGCTGCTCTCAGATTTTCAGGTCCTAGGCAAAAGAAAGAGAAGTATCTTGAAGTCTCTTGATGGTTCTCCTCCTTTTTCTGCCTTTCTATCCCCAGATTGAATACTAAAGCAGAATATTGGATGATTTCAGATTATTTGGAGTTTCTGTTCTAGGAACAACCACTGTCTGTCTCTTGGATGCATGTCACACCAGAAAAAAAGATGTTAACCTGTGTCTCTGGCATTGGGATTCTAGTGTTTAGAATAAGCGTTGTTAATATTAAATTTTGGAGCTTTCCCTGAGAGTTTCTCTGGCCAGACTATGCTGTGTTCAGTGTCCCCATTTAAGAAGTGAATTGGTGTATGTTTCTTATCTTTTGTTTCCACCTTTAGGAAGAAGCCCTGAGAAGACAGAGAGAACAAGAAATTGCACTAAGACGGCAGCGGGAAGAAGAAGAGAGACAACAGCAGGAGGAAGCACTTAGAAGACTGGAGGAGAGGAGAAGAGAAGAAGAAGAAAGGCGGCAGAGAGAGGAGTTGCTTCGCAAACAGGTGAAAAGTAGTACAAGGGCTTTA